AGCCAGGAAGCAAGTGATTAAATTGGCCAGAAGTTAAACAGATCTAAAAGCACTTTGCGTTCACCCGGCGTCTGGGCACATCTGCTTGTCACGTCTGTGATTTACGTCAGGTAGAGTAGGTGGTCATGGATGTAACTGAATGTAAATTGAATGAGTATGGGTTTTTAAAAAAAAATAGAAAAAAAAAATCTGTTCACTCACAATCAGTCACTCACTGGGCCTAATTGTTTATTATCTGTTAGTCACTCACTGGGCCTAATTGTTTATTGTCCATTTGAAGGATGTAAATCTCTGCTCCTCTCTCCATCACGTCAACCAATGAACTATGTGACGTTTCTCTCTCTGTCTCTGTCAGTGACAGCAGTGGAGAAATCCTCAACAATAATTGTGTTATGGAATACCACCAGACCACAGGCACCCTCAGCGCCCACTTCAGGAACATGGTCAGTGGAGCCTTTTGCCCCCAGGTTGACATGAGTACATGATGTGACGTTTAAGGACTGTCATGGTCGGAGGATTTTTGATATGTTTGAAAATGTGTATCAATTTGGTTAAAAAAAATTGGAATGGAAAATGGAAAAAGAGCTCCAAAATAGATAATTGGAGAGTTAAACCAAAGCTCAGGTTTGTCATTTACACCCCCAGGGGCAGCAGTGTAAAAAAAACCCCACACTTAATACGAGTATTTTAACCAGTTATTTGTAGCCCTCCGACTAACTTTTAACTATCTATTTATTGAGTAAATAACAAAAGCAAAACGCTTGTTTTTTTATTCGCTCACTTAATGCTTTTATTGTTATATTTTTGCCTTATATTTACCTTATAGCTTTGTGATGTTATTTCTTGACAAACCTTTAGCTTTTTTCACATAGCTTTAGCCAGCTCTTGGCTAATATAACTAATTTCTTTGCTTACTGTTGCTAATCTATGATAGCTTAGTGCTACATTTCTAAACTTCAAGTCAGGTCAGGTCAAGTGTGAGTACGGGTTGGACATAAATGCAGTACACTGTAATTTCGACCTCAGCCAAGTAGCGGTTGTCAGAGGTGAATTATGCATACATGTACTCCTCGTACTCGTGCTGTATCCTCCTATCAGAGGCTCGGCCTGTGCGTCCGTTTGTTGTCTCGTTCCTCATAATCTATTGTGTCGTGCAGTCCTTGAAGAGGATCAAACGGTCAGACAGGCGGGGGGCCGAATCGGTCACCGAGGAGAAGTTCACTATTCTTTTTGAGTCGCAGTTCAGCATCGGAGGCAATGAGCTCGTCTTTCAGGTCAAGGTAAGAATGTCAAGGTAAAACTCCAGCTTTACTCACGCTGCATAAACACAATATATATATACAGTATGTATACAATTCAGTCCACATACTGTACTTCAACAACGACACTGTGTGTTTCTGTAAGACCTTGAACTTTCAAGCTTCTCTCCCAGGTCTTTATCTGACACTTTTTTCTTCCTCCACTTTTATTCAATCTGTACTGCTAAGATGCAGAGCTTGTCCTTTTATAGTACATGAAGTATACTCTCTCCCTCTCTCTCTCGAACCAGACGTTATCCCTTCCTGTTGTGGTGATAGTTCACGGTAGCCAAGACAATAACGCGACAGCAACGGTGTTGTGGGACAACGCTTTTGCAGAGCCAGTGAGTACTTGTTTGTGTGTTGCTGGTATAGCTACGTATGCATGTAGGGACATTTCCTGGGACAATAGGACAATTTTGCAAGTAAGGTTTTCGAAGCTCAAACTTGAGTTTAGTTATTTTGGATTTAGGTGTTAAATAATAACAGTATTTCTATTAACACAAAAAAAGTTTTAGAAAAACCTGTCAGATTGAATTAATTGTAGGTGTATTAAAAGCTTTTCAGTTTTTCTGTCTGAGAGAATGGCTTCCTGAAAGGCTCAAGGTCACATAAGGTAAAAGGAAGAACAGATGAAATGAAACCAGTTAAAGGAGAGTTAAAGATTTATTCCAGGTTGAACCATTTTTAAATTGTAACCAAAACGGTGGCACTCCAAAGGTATTAGCGTAATTTACGGACTTTTGGCCGCACCCACTGAATTTAAAGAAGAAAAAAATTATTATACATGGCTAGTTACACGTTAGCTCTTTCCTGTTTCGGCTCCCCGACCGTAGTTGGAATCCAGAGGGAGAGACTTAGTGATCTGCTCCAGGTCTGAAGCTAACGTTAGCTACGGGGCTAACTCCTTTCATTTTGTGCTTGTCCGCAGCAGAGGTAAACAGAAACAGGGAGGTTGGGGTCTTTATTATCAGCCACACCGACCACAACAGAACATAAACAGAGTTTTAACAGCTCCTGTATAACCAACGTACGCTTCAACATGACAGGGCGACCACTGCTCTCAACTTTAGCTACTGTTCTCTCTCGCGAGCTCGTCCCACGCACATATACATACACAGCCATTCACACGCTACTAGTGAAACACACAGTAGCCTAGCAGAAAAGTCATTGATTGCTAGCGGTATGAACTTCGTTAGCTCGTAAAAATCCATAAATTAGCATCATTGTTTAGGCCGCAGGGTTCAAAGCGTGTGAAAAGGGTAGCGTCTTAAAGTCCGTACTTATTCCTGAGTCCAGCAAATAAAAACTCAATTAATCCACAATATACAAGGAGGATATTTGGTTATGTTCGAGACCGGCAGCCAAACCTGTGCATCTTTGGTTTACGATCCCCCGTCACTGTGTTGCTGCTGCTGCTGTTTTACTACATGAAGTGACCCTACTGTAAATCCTCCGCTGTGTCTTCGTCTGCAGGGAAGAGTTCCCTTCCTCGTGCCAGATAAGGTTCTCTGGCCCCAGCTGTGCGACGCCATCAACATGAAGTACAAAGCCGAAGTGCAGAGTAATCGAGGCCTGTCCGAGGAGAACCTGGTCTTCTTGGCTCAGAAGGCTTTCAGCAGCTCCAGCAACAACCCAGACGACTACCGCAACATGACGATGACCTGGTCCCAGTTTAACAGGGTGGGCTAGCTTTTTTATGACTGTCATTTAAATAAAGAATTAAAGGAAGAACCCCCAAAAAACTTCTTGTTATGCTATGCTATACTGACTGTAGATCAGGGGTGCCCACACTTTTTTGGCTTGGGAGCTACTATTCACATACATTATATATATACTGTACATTATATGTTGAAGTACTGATTGAATGCATGCAGCGCAGTGATACGAACTGATTCAATTCTCTCAGTATACGGTCAGTACTACACACTATAATATTATATTTATATTTTAGATTATTTAATGTGATTTATGTGATGGCGCACGATCTATCAGCACTTGACAGGAAAAGTTCAAAGGTCAGAAGATGCTGTCATTGTGGATTTGAAGAAAGCATATGATAGAGTGCAAAGGGACGAACTATGTTACTGTATGACAGTCCAGAGAGAGGCAGTGAAGTATGTGAGGGTGGTGCAGGAAATGTATAAGGCCAGTGAGACAGTGGTTAGGTGTACTGTCAGAGTGACTGATGGTAAAGCAGGGATGGCGTTACCTCAGGGATACAGCTCTGAGCCCCTTTTTGTTTGCTATGGACAGGTTGACAGATGAGGTCAGGCCAGGGATTCTATGGACCGTGTTGTTTGCAGATGACAGTGTCGTCTGGGGTGAGAGCAAGGAGCAGGTGGAAGTGTGTATAAACAAGAGTGAGGTGAGTGGAATGATCGGACAGTAGGAAAGGCGGACGACTTTAAATACTGTGGGTCAAACATGGACAGTGGACAGTGAGGACAGAGGTGAAACGTGCAGACTGGATGGAGACGAGTGTCAAGTTAAAAAGGAAGATTCATAAGGCGGTAGTGAGACCTGCTATGATGTACGGTTTAGAGACAGTGACTCAGAGATGAAGATGCTGAGATTCTTACTGGGAGAGACCAGGATGGACAGGACTAGAAATCATCAGATTGGAGGGGCAGTTAAGGTGGAGCAGCAGGTGAGGTTTAACTAGATGTCAATGTTTAACTTAGCGATGCTGTAAAACAAAAACAATAGTTTTATCCATGGCTGGTCAGTAAAACTTTTCCAAGACACAACACCTTACTGCGCATGTCCTCCTGCCGCACTTCAAAAAGGTTTTTTTCCCCCTTCGCATTTAAAAAAAAATCCCCGCTAGCCATTTTCAGTGAGCTATTTCACCCTCACGTAGTTTTCAACAGATTTATGTACTGCGGGTTATTCATGCAAAGGAATATGTCTTGCTCCATTTGCAGTGCCCTAACTGCCCTGTTCTGTAGCAGACCGCCTCAATGGCAGCCAGGTCCTTGTCCTAATGGACCTGTTTGTCCACACACTGAAAGGCTGCAGGCCTAATTTTCTGCTTCAAAGCTCCCGCTGATGGTTGAAAAAATACACACACACACACATACATACACCGCTCACCGTCAGTCTCATTGGATTACGAGAACATCAAGATTCGAGGATTTGCTCGACTTTGTTTACAGGCTACACATATAGACACCTCCTAACCTCGTCCTGCGTTTCCCCTCAGATACACAACATTTATAGCTGCCTTCAGCTGCACACTCAGCTGAGTCATAAACACAGTGTTTTTCTGCTGTATTTCTGGCCTGAATAAATATAAACCAATAATATATGTACATGTTTACGTGCGTCTTCCAAATGTGACCTCTTTAGGAAAGCTTGCCGGGAAGGAACTTTACATTTTGGCAATGGTTCGACGGTGTCATGGAGCTCACAAAAAAGCATCTCAAACCACATTGGAATGACGGGTAAGAGAAGCGTGGGGGGAAATGCTACATTTATTCTTATTCACAGCTGCAACAGCTGGAGTTCTGTCCCCGTTTTGTCAGTGGTGAAATCACAGACACAACATTCCTTGTATTCTTTTCCACAGCTAGTCCTGCTGATCTGAAACCTTGACACATTTTTTTTTTGTTTTTTTTTTCCTTGCTCAGTGCCATTTTGGGTTTTGTGAACAAGCAGCAGGCTCAGGATATGTTGATGTCCAAACCCAACGGCACCTTTCTCCTGCGTTTCAGTGACTCTGAGATTGGAGGAATTACAATAGCATGGGTGGCCGAAAATCCTAACAAAGCAGGTATGACGGAGAGATGCCCAGAGCTGGAAAAGTCAGAGTTGACTGTTGGCATTAATCCATAGAAATAAATGGAACACGGTATTTTTCCTTTTTTTTTTTCCATTGATACAAAGTGGTAGGTTATGTTAAGGGATGTCCGATAATATCGGCCAACCGATATTATTGGCCCGATATTAGCATAATTATGTAATATCTGTAAGAATCGTTATCGTTTTTTCCTCCGATAATAAAAACCCGATAACGCAATGCCTGGGTTTTGCCAAATGATGTGCCCTAAAAATACTTTTGGGGAAAAACGGCTACATGTGAAAGTGAAAGTCACTAGATGGCAGTATTGCAGCTCGTTTATTAATCAATTTTATGAGTTGCCAGCAACTTATACAGTGGTTTGTACAGATAAATAAGTGGTCACCACTGCCCCACTATATCGGTATTGGTTCATATCGGAATCGGAAGTGTTTGGACGATATTGGATATCGGCAAAAAGGTAATATCCGACATCCCTAGTTATGACCTGGATAAAAGTCCTCAGAAATTCTACAAGGAAGTCATTTCAGTTTTGTCTAGACTTAAATGGAGGATATCCAGAGAAATGGATCTGTTCATCTTATAAATAGTATTCATTTTTTTTGTATGAGAACTTGTGTTTGTTTGTGTTTTGTCCAGGTGAGAGAATGGTGTGGAATCTAATGCCCTACACCACCAAAGATTTCTCCATCCGCTCTCTGGCTGACCGCATCAGTGATCTCAATCACCTCCTGTTTCTCTACCCCGACAGACCCAAGGACGAAGTGTTCTCCAAATATTACACCCCGCCCCTGTGTAAGTGACTGGCTTTCATTACTGTTAAAAAAAAAAATCATATCCCAGAGGCAAAGCCAACGTTTATCCAAAAAAAAAAAAAGAAGTTTGGAACACTGGACCGTTGACAGCTCTGTTCTCCTTGTGTTTGTTTTTTCAAGCCAAAGCAGTGGACGGCTATGTGAAGCCACAGATTAAACAAGTGGTGCCTGAGTGAGTATCAAGCTTCTTGTTTTGCCCCCCCCCCACGCCTCCCATCCCTGCCCCAACTATTTTATATCCTGTGGCAATATTTAGATTTAATCAGTAAATATTGGAGCCTGAATTCAGATCAGCCATTAGTTCTGCTGCTGTAGTTGAAGGGGACCAATTAGGGGAGGCTGAGGTTCCTGAGAGAGCTCGTCTCATGTTCATCATTAGAGTTAGGCTTGTTAGTTGGACAGCTCTGCTCCCTGCCTGTCTCCACGGCAGGTTCACTCAGAGAGCAGAGAATGACCATAATGATGCTGCCGGGCCTGGAAATCACGCTGATGGTAGTTGCTTAGGCAACTAGTGAACACGTCTGAGGTTGTGTGTTTGTCTGTGTGTCTGTGTGTGTGTGCGTGTGTTTATTCACAGGTTTGCAACAGCCAATTCAGACCCAACAGGTGGGAAACAGACCTACATGGATCACGGCGCATCCCCGTCACCTGTCAGTCACGCTCATGCCTATGGAATATACCCACCAATGTAAGTCAATATCACTCTGTGTGTGTGAGTGTGTGTGCAAAAGTCAGAAAGCACACAGCACAGCGGACACACATCTTCCAGGCTTCATTCATACTAGCTTAAAACTAGCTTAAATTTGATTGGCGGAGAGCAAAGAAGCCTACTCTAGAGGTTAACGAATGATTGACAGGTATGAGCTAATGACAGTTCTTACTGATGTGATTGGTCGTTCGTGGCCAAAACGATTTTTAGTTTTAATGTACTTACAAATATATTATATACCACATATCAATATAATAATATAAATACAAATACTAGGGATGCTAATATCGGGCCGTTAATATTAGTCGCAGAAATTATCGGCCCGATATTAGAATAATTATCTAATAACTGTATGAATCGTTATCAGTTTTTCCTCCGATAATGGATCGGAATTGGAAATTTGTTTGGACAAAATTGGCATAAAGTTAATATTGGACATCTCTAAATACACATATAAAATTAAAATATATTAATGTATTTATCCATACATAATATATAAATATATATACATATATATACATATATACAACATATATGTATGTGTGATGATCATATATATATTATAGGTATATTTATATATATTATATATAAATATTTACATTATGTAAAATATAATATATTTACGTATATATACACAATATATACGTAGATGTACTATATATGTTATATAAAAAAAACAGCGCTGTGGCTAACATGTTCAGTTCTGATTGAGAACTTGGTTTGAGTGCCGTTTGAACCAGGTTCACAGTTCGATCCCACCTGTTTGAAAGCGTCCCTTCTCTGTGCTCTGGCAGGAGCGACTCGATGTTGGACACAGACGGAGACTTCGACCTGGACGACACCATGGACGTGGCCAGGCACGTGGAGGAGCTCCTGAGGCGGCCCGTGGAGAGCCAGTGGGGCGGCCAGCAGTCATGACCCCTGACCCTCCTTCACCCCCTCCACTCACATTGACATTTGTCTCGGTTTTAATTCCATTCATTTCTCATTGGTTTCAGATAGCTATAATGTGAAACGTCAATAAATAACGGCAGTGATGGGTTTTTTTTTTTTTCTTCTCAGCATGATCGCGTTCACATCCACAGATTGATTTGTGTCTGCCCGTGTTTGTAAAAACAGTCTAGGTACATTTGAAAAAAAAAAAAAAAAAAAAGGTCTTGCATTGTTACAGTATCGTGCAAAAAGAAAAGAAGAAATCTTCTCTGTCCACATCGTGCTTGCCTTTCCCGTTGTTCCGAAACATATTTAAACGACATGCTACTGTACGGAGACATTTTAACAGTTAAATGTTTTCACTTTTTTTCTTTTTTTTCTTTTTCGTCCTTGTAAATGAAATGAATGTGTTAGCATGAATTGAGCTTGCTACTAAAACAGAAAAGTCGTTTCCCTGCTCAGTCACAGTCGTCACTCTCTGAATCTGTACACACTAACCCTACAGGCCTAGCCGCTGTCTTTACTCCCGGCGATATCAGCACACTGTACACACACACCGATGTGCGGCACAATGTTTTCGTGTTGATTTTATTCCATGAGTTGGAAACCAGGGTGGGTTGCTGTTTGCTTTGGCCCCTCCCTCACTCTCACAGGGCTATTTATCTCTTTTCTGTTACTAAGAACAGTAATGCAAATCTGACTATTACTCAGCGCTGCCTGCTTGTGTCATCTCAGGTCTCTCTCTCTCTCTTTCTCTCTCACCGCTACCTCTCTTCACCAGAATGACAGCCATAATTGTTTTTTCACATTCACACCAGCAGTTACAGTTATTCTTTCACGTGTGTGAAATTGATGGCCAGGACCCTGTTGCCTCCTGGATGCTTGAACTCGCACACCGTACCGCACGGGGCGTAGCTACAGCTAACATTTTTAAGAAATGGATGTAGCCGTCTTTTCGCAAAGGCTAGCCCATAGCATTAGAAACCACAGACCAGAATCTAGCTCTGACATCAACATTACATATCGTTCTTTAGCTACATGGGCTTTACATGCGTTGCTGCCTCCTATTTTTATTAATATTTTTCAATAATAAAAAAAAAACTACCGGCTAATTTATGTATTTATTTACTGGTTACTGTTTTTGCTTTTCCTTCGCCAATCATTGTTCATTAGGTTTTTTTTTCTATGCGCGTCTTGGCTAACTTTTAGCGTTGTCGTAGCTATCTTTTAGCCTGTCAGACATTGCTTACTGTAGCAACTGTTTATTTTTTTCAGTGATTCATTGCTCTTTTTGATTCTAATTGCATAAGAAATGTAAAAAAAATATATTAAAGATTTTTATTATTTTTATTATTATTATTTCTATCAAATCTGTCCAACTTGAAAAGTTTGGACTTTGCAGTAAGTGGCCAACATAATCAACATGAACCAGATGTTGAGCACAAAAGGCCCAGAATTCATTGCTCTACAGTAACAGTGTAGTAGTTTCATTGTGTCTTTGTGATTCACATAACTGACAGGAAACTGACAGGTGTCGAAAAAAGTCGCGAGCGCTAATTAGCCTAATGCTAGTATCTGTTTGATCAGTGCAGCATTTATAATCCGTGTCACTGTGGCATTAGGTCGGTCCCATTTTTCATCTACCGTCTGGGCTACTCTTCTGTCCGTCTGTCCTCCTGTCTCCGTATCATGACACTGTGTCATAACCAGCACATGCCTGTCTGTGGGTGACATCACCACGGCACCAGCAGCTGAGGTCGCATAGCTCACAGAGAGAGGGAGCATCTTTAAATGGCTGCATAGTCACAGCATGCCCCCCCACCGCTACCTCTCTTCACCAGAATGACAGCCATAATTGTTTTTTCACATTCACACCAGCAGTTACAGTTATTCTTTCACGTGTGTGAAATTGATGGCCAGGACCCTGTTGCCTCCTGGATGCTTGAACTCGCACACCGTACCGCACGGGGCGTAGCTACAGCTAACATTTTTAAGAAATGGATGTAGCCGTCTTTTCGCAAAGGCTAGCCCATAGCATTAGAAACCACAGACCAGAATCTAGCTCTGACATCAACATTACATATCGTTCTTTAGCTACATGGGCTTTACATGCGTTGCTGCCTCCTATTTTTATTAATATTTTTCAATAATAAAAAAAAAACTACCGGCTAATTTATGTATTTATTTACTGGTTACTGTTTTTGCTTTTCCTTCGCCAATCATTGTTCATTAGGTTTTTTTTTCTATGCGCGTCTTGGCTAACTTTTAGCGTTGTCGTAGCTATCTTTTAGCCTGTCAGACATTGCTTACTGTAGCAACTGTTTATTTTTTTCAGTGATTCATTGCTCTTTTTGATTCTAATTGCATAAGAAATGTAAAAAAAATATATTAAAGATTTTTATTATTTTTATTATTATTATTTCTATCAAATCTGTCCAACTTGAAAAGTTTGGACTTTGCAGTAAGTGGCCAACATAATCAACATGAACCAGATGTTGAGCACAAAAGGCCCAGAATTCATTGCTCTACAGTAACAGTGTAGTAGTTTCATTGTGTCTTTGTGATTCACATAACTGACAGGAAACTGACAGGTGTCGAAAAAAGTCGCGAGCGCTAATTAGCCTAATGCTAGTATCTGTTTGATCAGTGCAGCATTTATAATCCGTGTCACTGTGGCATTAGGTCGGTCCCATTTTTCATCTACCGTCTGGGCTACTCTTCTGTCCGTCTGTCCTCCTGTCTCCGTATCATGACACTGTGTCATAACCAGCACATGCCTGTCTGTGGGTGACATCACCACGGCACCAGCAGCTGAGGTCGCATAGCTCACAGAGAGAGGGAGCATCTTTAAATGGCTGCATAGTCACAGCAT